AGCATATTAAACGACCGGAAATAAGTAAGCATTAGGTTAGTTTTTAAAAAGAAATAAGAATTGTTTGTAAAGACATTTTATATATGAAATTAGAGAAATAATGAACTTGATATCTGTGTTCTGACTCCACCTACCCCGCCGACCATATATTTTTTATTAAGTCACAATCAAACTGTAAATGACATTAATAAAAATGCGGGTAAAAAATCTTTTTGCACCGGCACAGGCTTCAAAATCCTACAACATATTTCAGAAATTTTTATACGCAATTTCTGGAGAAATGGATTTTTTGTTTTTCGATTTTTAGTATGTTGATAGATAACAGACATTAACAAAATTAAGTTAACGAGATTATTATTCTGGACATGTTTATTTAACAGATAATTACAAGTCAGCTTCATAAAGATGTCGATGAAGATTATACTTTTTTTTCAATTTTCCTCGCAGATTTTCTTGAGATCTCTAGATCACATCATTATTGATTTTCATTTCTTCACTTATAGTAAAATACACGTGCAAAAACTAGTAAAGAAAAGTTTCATTTACAATTTTTTTCCATGATCAGATGACCCGGTAAGTGTTTTCGGAGCGCGAGCATTGAAGATGCCAAGCGAGATCTTTTTCGTTGGACGTCTACGTCTGTGGTCGCTGGCGAAGGAAAAAAATGAAGTGGCGGCAACGCCGCCTTCCGACCGTCCGTCTGACGTGTGAACGGCGCGTTTCTTTTAATTAATCGCAGGCCGTAAAAAAAGATCACTACATTCCCGACGACAAAGAATTCCCAGTTCAGATGCGAAAAATATTATTATGACAGGTACGTCGCGGCGGCGTTGCCGTCATTTCCCCCTTGGCGAAGAAGCCGTTTTTTACGTCGATCGGCTCGAAAAGTCTGGATGACGCGGCGGAACAGCGACGTTAGACAAAACCGCTTCCTCCGCTTCTTATTTTTCCGTGTGAATGAAATCCGCTCAAGAGTCCGTGTCGTAACTGTTGATTTCTTAACGATTTCGGAGCGTGACGGATCGCGCGAGTTTCCGAAAAAAAAAGCAAACCGTAACGATTTAAAGCGTAAAATGACGAAACGGCAAAAACTGAGGAATCTAACCGAATGTAAATAACCTCTCGGAGCGAGCGAGGTGTTGTGAAACGAATATAATAGTTGTAGACTCCGCAAATGGGGATAACTCCAAGAATTGCACTTTTTAGATATTTCCAACGGTAATTATTGAAGAAAAACTTAAGGGGCTTAAGGGTAATACCGTTTTAGATATTTTAATGAAATTTGGCATCTATATGACTTTGATAACACGCCACTGATTTGTGTTAAAATAAAAATTACGCTTACAATTTCCGATCATTTCTAAAGAAATTTAATTTTTTCATTTTCGCTTTCAAAAATAAAAAAATCTTTAATATGACAGCATGCAGAGAAATTGTTTTGTGTAAAATAAAATATACTATACGAGTTCCTTTCACTTTTTCAGTTTAATATAAAACATTGTAATAACAAGATTCTTATTTAAAAAAAAAAACACTACCTACTATTAGTAATTTTTAAGAAAATTGTCTGTTAATAAATTAATAACAATCTTTTTGAAAAAAGGTGGAACATAGAAACTAAATAAATTGTTGAAAATGTCCCACACCTCGGAGGATACACACTTCAACACTTCAGTGTTTCTTATTAAATCGCAGGAGGTTCTTCTACAGGGTTAACTGGAGTGCGACGAACCAGACTTTTAAGATGCCCCCATAAAAAAGTCCAAACTATTTCAATCTGTCGGTTTTTAAGTGTGTGATTTAATATTAAATAAAACATGGTGTTATCTAAAACAAAGAAAATTGGAATATTTTGACCACGTGATCAGAGAACCTAAATATGCGATGCTACAGATGATTATACAAGGGAAGACCATAGAATAGTTTAGAACGACATCAAACCTACCATTCAGAGCAACTGTTAAAAAGATTAGGATAGCCATGATAATATCCAACCTTCGTTAGGAGAAGGAACAAGAAGAAGAGGATATAATGTACAATTTTGTCCAAAATAACAAAAAAGGGAAAATCTCTGGGAAGTAACGCCTGGACTTGTTGAATAATTTTCCCAACGAAGACATACGAGATATTCATTTTTGCAATTTTTCTAGTACTAAGTTCAGAATTTCCATCAATAGAATTTCTGGAGTTCTTACAGTCCGATGGGCCCCTCTAACAAAGTTCGGATATTTTAAACACCGAATTAATACGAGGAACTGAACTTAAAAACTGATATTTTTTGATTGCTCCCGGTACCTTTTCAGCTTTCGAGTATTTTTTGAAAAAATCGGAGAAAATGGATTGAATTTTTTAAATGCAAACAAGTCAAAAACCGAGAGAGCTGTAAGACGTAACCACGAAAAAATGAAAATCATTTCAAATTTCATTCGATTCGATTTATCCGAAAAATACAGCGAAAATGGCGCCTTCTAGGAGCAACGTCCAAATAGGTTTCAGCATATAAATAAATGAAATCAGAAAATTCCTATTTTTTTATGAATCCCCTTGTTAATCTGGTGTCCTTCCGATAGACTTCTGTCAAAAAAGAGTTGTTTTGCAGAATTTCTGCAGGATGTCACGGGAAAACATTTGGCTTAAAATTATAAGTAGTGTGAAGTAATAAAAATTCCACGCTTCTTAATTATTCGGTTCCATTTAAAAATTAATAAAAATAAGTATATCACTACTGGCAGAACGCAAACAGATGTACAAACAACGAGTTAAATATTTCTTCTTTCTTGTCACAATATCTTTCAATTTCTTAATAGATATACCTACTTAAAAAACACAAATTATATTAAAACATAACCAGCAGCGAACACAGACTTCCGTCATAGATAGTATCTCCGGTTGCCATAGATAAAGAAGGAAACGCATGCGTAAGTCGTAACTTGATTCGTTGAAAATTCGAACGGCCCGAGTTGCACAACAGGCACAGAATATTGGTGCGACTTCTCCGTACTTCGCTGTCACAGAGTACCGACAGTATAATCGATAAGAACAGATTTCTTCTCACACGAGCGATCTGAGAGCGTGAAATTTCGTTTTGCGGCGACGTTGACGGTGTCGTATCGAATTGTATATGAAAGTCGGAAATACAGAAACGCTCCACGATCGACCGCTCATTTCCCGGATTAATTACGAAATAAATCGGTCTTTCGCGGCGGTTTTTACACAAAAGCGACCGAATACAATGCGGGGAAATACGGCGAACCTCGTTTCCCTTTTTTATTGTTTTCCGCAAGTTGTTTTCAATCAATCGAGTGAATAATCCATATTTAATCGCACTCCGTAACACTTTTGTTTTATTTCGCTTTGCGTCTCTTAGAACGAACTAGTTCAAAAGATGGAATCCAATGGAATTAAAAGATTCCGTCACTAAAAAGACAGGTTCCCTATAAACTAAACCCAAACCCTAAGTACGAATCGAGAACTAATCCAACAAAACTTCTTCTTCTTCAAAGTTGTCAAGTGTACTCTGGACAATAGCCCATTGCGAACATCATAAAATATAAAATGACTATATACTAAGAGAGGTACTACGCACTAAGCAGGAGAAAAGGAAGCAGTGAATGCAAATAAAGGATGCTTGCTTTTCAATCTGCACAAAATAGTTACTTCTTTTGTTTTGTTTTACCGGATAATCCTCATGGAAGCTGCTACCTTTGTATAAGGCCGTTCTCCTCTGTCTTAAAGAGCTGGAAATCCATGCATAATTTTTAAGAACTAATTCAGTAAAATCTGGCTTTAATTCCAATGGATTCATCTCCATTGGCAATAACAGCCAAACTCAAAACGATGGCTGCCATTTTTTCTTTTTTTTTGCCTAATTTGCCAAAAGGCACTAAACCGAGAGCAGGTGAATTAAACGAATTAAATCTTTAAACTATTCAAAGATCGAAATCAACAAAATGATCTGAAGTTCCCACCTCTAGAAAACTGCTTTACTTTCACCTCTAGTAAACTGCTTTACTTTAACTAACCTACAACTTGCAAAAATTAATATACTATTGAACGAGTTTCGATAAACGCTGTTCTAGTCGCGGGTTTTATTTGCCAATTTCCTTTTTCCAGAAATTTGAGTATTGTTGGGCATGACGAATTATGTTTCCGCCGCATAAAACGCGACCCGACCGTAGGCATCGCGTTAACTCGCCTTTGTGTCTCGCGTTCTTTATTCTTTCTTCAGCGCGGAAAAAAAACTTAGAAAATTGAAACGGGGCTGCAATTTTCGCGTGTAATGAGGTTGTTATAGGAGATACGCTCCGCCGGTTTCCGAGAGAGGAGCAATGCCTTAAGTCGGTGAGATTGTATCTGGTGCACGCACCATCGATAGAGCGTCCTAAGCACCAAAGCACGTCGCCCGAACTTTGCCAACGATTTTTGAGTTGCAGGTCCCTGATTGATGCATATTAACGCTAAAATTTGACAGTAATGACCGGAACGTTTTTGTATAAGTACGGAAGACGGAATTAGACAAAGCAGACACCCTATATGATCACACTTAATCTTCTTGAAAATAAAGTCCTTGTCAGAGGTAAGTCGTGATTTAAAGATAATTATCAAAGATTACCATTGCGGTGGGGATGTAATTAGAAATAATAATATATTTGAGCCTCTCAGAAATATGCAATTGGCCGAAAAATCCCAGCAATCTTGGCTAATAGAAGTAAAAGAGGAAAAAGAAGACAAGTGCAATTTCTACCAATTATTACTATAAGGCAGGAACAGCCGTCCGGCTGTGGCTCCATCTCTCAGTGAGAAGCATGGAACTAATTAATTTAGGCAGGCGCCAATAGGGAGCGCGCATTTATAAGTTCTTTGAGTTAATTATGTTAAGCCATTCTCGTACATCCCTTGGGCTTAGGTCATATATAACAAATATAACTGCTTCATTTACGTATCTATTTTGGCCGCGTGCCTTTTATGACTAACTCGCATGAAATGATCAATTCAACGTTATCTTTAGCCGAATGATCCTTGTAAATTGGGCCAACAGCATTATAAAAGAAAAAGAATTTCTTTGCGTCAATCGTCAAATTGAAATTCGCTTTTTCTGACGTGTCTCGTCTGTTCGAACGCCGGATTTTTAATATTTGCCAGTCGTAAAAGAACATGGTGAGTTTTATGAATAAAACGGCGGGGTTTTCAACCGCATGTGACATTTTTAGACCGTCCAAGATCCTTCGCAGCCGGTGAAAATAAACAAATGGGACGGATCGGCCGTGAAAAACGCTTTAGACGACGCGGTCAAAGAAGTACGTTGTTATATCGTTTTAATCCAGTCGCCTGATACGAATCGGATTTTTTAGGTTCTTACCAAGAAATATAACTATGTAGAAAATTTCTCCCTGATGGACGGGCGCCTGGCCATTTGTAGTATTGCTGTCGGCGTCGCTATGTTCGCATTGCTTTGGGACTACTTATATCCGTTCCCGGAGTCGAAGTAAGTGCAGTGGTTATTATTATTATTAATCATAATCAAATAATTGTTATAGACCGGCCCTTATATTTTGCGTGACAGCTTATTTTTTCATGATGGGAGTCCTGACGCTTTACACCACATACAGAGAAAAAGGAATCTTTGCGGTATGCATCCAGAAGGACGGAAACAAAAAGAATAATGTGTGGGAAGCCAGCTCGTTCATTTTGAAGTGAGTACACTCGATTTGTTTAACCATCCGCCACCCTATTACTGTCGAAGGTACGATGACAAATACAACCTCCATTTGGCGTGTAAAGACAATAAAACGGGCGCGGTGAGGGAAGCCAGTTCGAAGAAGAGCGTCGCAAATTTTATCGACGTGGACGGTAGCGTCGTACAAGACCTGGTTGAAGCGGAAGTAACGAGACTGCATAATTCGTTAAGCGAACGAAAAGACAAATAAGTCTTGCAAACTTGTGGTTTTTTCTCTTGATTATTTTTATGAGGATTTATTTTGGGTATAGGAAAACATAAATGTTTGTTTAACAGAACAATTTGTGTCATTTACTTACTCAAAAAGCAGTAAGGTTTCGTATGTTACCGCGTCTTAGGTTCGGTGTTATTTACCATTACGCTAGTTGAGGGATGGACGGGCAGGATATGTTGAAATAAAAGACCGTCGCTGAAGTTCAATGTATTACCATGTTTAAGAAATAACCCTTCACAAAGGGTCTAGTATTTTTGTGACAAACACGTCAATTAAATTTGCATATGCTTAAGAAACAAGTTTGGTGGTCTATGCCTCTTCTTTCTCTATTCAAGAATGTTGACCAAACTAGTCAGCACACTCGCTTATTACCGACATCAGTAGAAGAAGTTTATATTTCTGTCACAAATCTATATATAATATGATGCGATTTTCATTGATATGAAAGAAGCAACAACACAAAGAACAAACTGGTCCAATGGATTTACACGTTTTCAAATCGGTGGGCCCGAGAACACTTATTCTTTAAAATCGTTCAACCCGGTACCAAAACTTTAAAGCCACATAGAATACGAATGGGAACCTTGATTCCAACTTGACGCCCTATACTCACAACTAACTGGGTTCTTTAAACACCTCTTATTTTGGCGTTGGTTTACTTTATCTTTTATGATGTTGAAAGTTACTAGACTAGTTTCTCTCTTGTATATAAAAAAAATCGTATCGGCAATATCGTCTTACCAAGGAAATCGTTTCTATGGTGGTTACATATTCTAATTCCAATTATAAATAAAGAGCAGGTTTGCCAGGAACCTCGTTGGTGGATCATGAAATATAGCACAAAATAATATTTCTTAAAAGGTTATGATAGTGCTTGAGTAAGTAATTCACTCCGAATGCTCTTCTGTTCCTGAAACTTTATCAACCACATTTGCTATTGCGATAAACACTTTTCTTCTTTATAATTAGACTTCAACTATTACCCTTATATCATCAAAAAAAAAACTTGCAAAAACTAAAAATGTTGAATTCAAAATATGGGTGAAAATTCATAAGAGATGCAAAAATTTAATAACTTTACAACTTGAAGTATTCCATAAAGAGACTATTTAACTGATTAGAGACGGTTAAGCATATTATACCATGAGCCAATGCACTCGGATAACACAGACGAAAACGAAGAAATCAAACTAGCCAACTGTCGTCTATGGTGGACACTCGATTCGTAACCTCCAAACGATGGACGACGCTGCGGAAAACGTCAAAGAAATAAAGCACCACAAGCAAGACAGTTATTGTATCACCCGACCGGCTTACCGTCAGGGTAGGAAATTAACTGCAGTAAAGGTGCGGAATTTATTTTTCGTTGATTGACCTGCAACCGATCGATTTCGTTTAAGGTTTACACGGTGAACAACGAGTCGCAACACCTTTACGTGTACGGCGTGCCGAAAATCGACCTGCGTAAGGAACTGAGGCAACTCTGCGTTAAGTACGGGGAGGTTTCGCGCGTCGCCGTAGTCGAGGACGTGAAAACCGAAATTTTTACCCAATGTTTCCACGTCGAATACAAGAGGATACAGTCGGCCCGTATCGCTAAACGTCTGCTGGACACGAGGTCGTTTTACGGTGGAATTTTGCACGTGTGTTACGCGCCAGAAAGTGAAACTGTTGATCAGACCAGATCGAAGCTGTCGCAAAGGAGACGGGACATTTTAAATAGGCTGGGCGGATGAAAAGTCCGCTAAACGAGAGTTTGACGAGTGTTTTTAAAGGATTTTTTAGTAAGCTAGGAGCGACTGGGTGAAACAATAAATACAAGTGGTGACCAAGTCCGCATTTTATTCCATTAATATATTATCAACCCAAAAGCAAACAAATTGGTACTAAACACACATTTTATTATAAATATTGATACCCCCATAACTTTTTTTTTTTCATCTTAGAAAAACGTTTAATGCAAAAGTCGCTTAGTTTGCCTGTGGATTTAAAACCTATTTATATACAGGATGCGCAAAAAAAGCACAATATATCAAAGTTATTTTTTTAAATTGCGGGCCCTGCATAATCATTTCGTAAGAAGAAAGGCAGAACGGCGTTCTACATTGATTTCAAAAAAACATAACATGTTACAGTTATTTTTTACATTAGGGCAAGAAATAAGCGGAAAAAAAATCAAAATATTGTTATATATATAAAAAAAGGGATAAAAATGCATAGAGAAGATAGACGCAATCTTTCCAAAAGGACATTCAATATACAGAAAATCTTTTTTCATACAATTAATGAATTAACGGATATTCTGTGGCAAGAAGATGGCGCCCTTTCACGTAAAGTTGCTGCAGTGACGGAATAAGTACGCAGACATGGCTCATTAATCCTCGAGATTTCTATGGTGGTATTTAAAAAAACCAAACTTATGTTAAAGGAAGAATCAGGAGTGAAATAAATTACATTAGAGACTGACTGGATAATGCTTTATATAATTTAAAACTAGCGCATCAACTGTACTCAGCAAAATGGACCAATAAATTATTGTTTATATATTTTTCTATTATCTTCATATTTTTATATATTTGTTTATATTGAATTGAATGCCATTTATTATATCTGTTTTTGAACAATAAAAAAAAAATTCACAACTGCCACAATTAAATAAAAGCTGGCGAGACGCCATGTTGATTTTTAAAACGGCCTAAAACAACCTTTCTTTTTATGATATACAAAACTACCAATTTAAAAATATAACTTTAATATACTATAACTTTTTGTGTAAAATGTAAAATAAGATGTTTACCATTTTACTCATCTACAGCAATATTTTTATAGGCAGATTTTTTTAAGATTAGCAAATTTACAAAAAAATACAGAACAGTTTTAAAAAGAGTTAGGTCAAAACACAGTAAGAGCAAGTCGAGCTAGGAGGGTGATCCTTATCTCCGACTTGAATGTGATCATTAAAGGATTCCCAAAGTCCGGGCGTTTGAATTATCTGAAAAAAAAAACAGTTTCCATATTACCCAATTTGAAAACGTCTTACCTTGTGAACTAATTCTTCGAAGGCACTTTGAACTCCGTGCTTAGTTTTTGCGCTCGCTTCAATGTACAATGTTTTATATCTCCTCGCGAAATTCATCGCTTCCTCCCTCGGCACCTCGCGGTTATGCTGAAACGATACGCGCAATAAGCAAGCCATCGCTTTACAAGCCGCGCTCACCACATCGATTTTGTTACCGACGATCATTTTGACAATATTCCGTTTGGTTGAATAGGTTTCAAGTTCGTTAAGCCACATCTCCAACTTCGCGAATGTCGCATAACTACTAACGTCATACACGAGAATAGCCCCCTGCGCATCTCTGTAATAGGACGGCGTCAAAGTACGAAACCTCTCTTGCCCCGCTGTATCCCAAATAGCTAATTTCACAGTGTTACCATCGACTGTAAGCTTTTTCGTCTTAAAATCTACTCCTATGGTTAGAGTTTGCTGAGGGTCGAAATTATCGTCCGTGAACCTCAGCAACAAACTAGATTTTCCTACGCCGCTTTCACCAATTATTAAAATCTTCAAGGTTGTTATGACGTCGCTATCCATTTTTTAACTCGCTATTGGTTCACTGTAAATCGCAAACATTCGCTCTCGGAAACGGGACTAACGCAATTTTAATGAATGCTCGGTAATCAACGAATATTTTCACAAATTTACATCGAAAACGGGGGAAAACAATAAACAATGACAGATTAACATAGACCTACAAATGCTAATACTTCAGACCACACAACACGCCACAGAATCATTGATGGCCTTCGTTTAAACCATGTTTTTTTTTATCAAGATTAACTTCTTATATTTTAACAGTCCCTTAAGACACCATTACCGATCCAGTTGAAAAAGTTGGTTGTGAGCCTAGTTCTTGAGTTTACGTTATTCACGCCGGTTGGAGGTCGAATGGGTCACGAAGCGTTCGCGACAGAGGGGCAATCGTTTTTCTTTGAATCGGTCAAAGTACAAGGTGGAACCATAATTTATTTTTTTATGATATCTGGCGGAAATGAAAAATCTTCGACGGATCTAGGAAATGAGCGAGTGTTCATAGTGAAAGATCCTAACATGACGTAATTATAAAAGGATTTATTGTATTTTAAAATTTCGAAAAAAAGCGTTTAAATTCGCTTAGTAAAAGGTTTTTAGTATTTTTCAATTTAATTGTGAACTATCCCATTAGGGTTTTTGTTCGTACCAGCGGTTGGTTATTTTCATTATTCATGTTCCAGTAATTCAAACAAGAAAAACTTGTGTTATAGGACCACATTTTCTAAACCAAATCGAACTGATTTCAAATTGTTTGGGAAGCATTATTCTTAATGCCATTGATTTTTTTTGCCTATTACAGGGAACAGATGCTACAAATTGTGATCCTTTGACCACCTGCTGCCCTACAAAAAGATGAAGACATATTTATTAAATACATTGTTATTTTTACATTAAAAATTTATGTGAATCTTGTTTTGTTCTATTGCAGCCCTAAAACAATTTTGGTTGGTTGCAAAGAGAGATTAAGGGTGGGAACAGATTATGAGTGTTCTCTTTTTATAATGTTATAGAAGGGTAAAAAAACAGTTTTCTTATAAAGACTTATTTAATAAGTAACAAATACTAACGTAAATGATTAATCTACTACGCAAACAGTATCTCGACAATATGATTACATCCTGTCCAACTGCCTACAAAAACAGATCATTGGAACCCGGAGACAAAATGCCCAACTCTCCTATTTGCATTATAAAAAAATATTAAAATTTACAAACATAATCAGTCGAATTACGCATCAACCCGCGCCAAAATGTCCGTTTCCCTATAGAGGTGGTACTCAACGTTGTCTTCGACTTCAACTTTGGTGCCCCCATATTCGGGGAGAAGAACCTGTTCCCCAACCTTTACGGCGACAGGGACATGCGAGCCGTCCTGCACATAAAATTATTTGGTTTACGTAAATTAAAACAAAAGGTTCGCACTTACTTCTTTTCGCGCTCCCGGGCCTACAGCTACCACGGTTCCGTGCAAAATTTTGCCCTGGGCCTTCTCTGGAATGACGATCCCGCCTTTGGTTTTAGTCACGGCGTCCGCCTTTTTGATGAGGACCCGGTCGAAAAGAGGAATCAAGCGTTTTATGGCACCACTCTGAAGTTTTGAAACATACACTAGCTAAATATAGGTTATTTTATTAAACTACATCGTACAGAATAGGTTGGACCTTGGATCGAGCATTTTTAGAAGCGACTTTTAGGTTGGAATGCTATAAAATTGTTAAACCGACTGAAAAACTTACCATTTTTCGATAGTTTGCGGTTTTAAAACGGAGAACGTGCCCGTCACCCTTTGACCTAGCAGAGAAACTTCTCGAAAACTCGAGACTAGAAACCCGGCGCTTGCAACACACGAGGCTGACCGACGTTTGAATGCGAAATTTTTGTTCTGTGTGTTAGTGCATGGCTGTAGCAGAAGGATCTTATCGACATCGAAAAAAGTTTCGAGCTGGTTTATAGTTAGAAATTGATGATTTTCAGTCGTCGCAAATTAAATTTCACAAAAAAGATGTAATGTAAATATATACTTCAGGATTTATGAATATAATTTTCTCTCAATATGATGCAATCCAGTATACGTTGTTTATATTCAGTGGTTAAATGGGCATAGGAAACTTATACAGCCATAGTCAAACATTGACTTGCCGCACATAGATGTCGCTGGCAGCTTAAACCGGAAAGTTAAAGTAATTTTAAACCGTGCCGACAGCCTACGTTTCGAGATTTTGACACTAGGGCGGCATGAAGGCCGGTTTTCGTGTTTACTATTTTTAGGGGATATTCGATACGTCGTTTAGTAGACCATAACATTATAACGTCCCACAGTATGTAGCGCACAGATTAAACTGTGGCCATAGAAAAGTTGGTATCATACTTTTTTGCAAAAAAGTATCGCTAGTTTGGGGGCTGCCCCGCCCGTCTCCTCCACGTAAATATGAATTCGTCTATTACCATTTTACAACTTTCGCCGCACAAACTCCCTCGCTACGACGCGCTAAAACTTTCTCGCAGAACGAACTCCTCAGGCAACTTTTCTCGGAAAGTTCGGAAAGTTTATCGCCAGCGCGCCGCGACCCGATATATACTTACTTTCCTCGGTGATATCGCGAAATATCTTAGCCGGAAAAAATACCTATTTAGAAGGTAACCCAGCTACAAAATGTCCGAAAATCTAACCTTAGAAGTAAATTACCGGCATGGTTTCTACTGCTAAATCGGGTATTTTGGAAAAGCTAACTTTGCATTTATAACAATGTAGCATTTTCTGAAATATCAAAGCTCTCTAAATATCTCCCTACGAATAATAATTACAATAATCTAATATTAAACATATTAAAATTATACATAAGTCTATTAACTGAGCAAAAAACAAAGAAATATGACAAAAACCTTGCAAGAAAATAAAAATGAGGCCTCTACTAAAACCCACAAAATATTTTAAATCCTTCATGGCTTTTAAAGTGGGCATGTTTGTTCTGGACACTAGGCCATTACTGACTCACACAAACGCAGAAACAGGCATTAGGCTCACTATCAACTATTACGACTTAAAAAACTCCGATATCAAGTATTTTTAACTTATTGCAATTTTTTATCGGTAAAGAGCGAGTGTCCCCACGTCCTAAAGGACGGTTAAAAACTGTAGATGATAATCTTTGAATAAAAAAATAACGAACGTTTTAAAAAGGGCAGGAATGATTCTGTGGCGTCTTTATTTGTTGTGTGGACTGCGGTATTTTAGCGTTTTATCGGCCTGAGTCTGTCGATTATTAATTTTTACCCACGTTCGTTTATTCTTATATCGTTGTCCTTTTCTTGTTCACATACCAGTAGTTTTAATAGAGTGTTTAATAAACGAGTGACTTAAAAAGTTTACAGAACGTGTTGCATACTATATGCTTTTTCGACGACCGTTAGTATTTGGGTACATTTTCGCAAAACAACACGAATACATTCACTGAGCGGCAATATCCGAAGTGCCTCGGATCCCTGGTAAACGAAACTGACGTGGTAAAGTGACGCTTCCCGCACGCTAGATCGATGTGTAATTGGGCATCTTACAGAGGGGAGTAGAAAAACAGCTTTTTTAAACATAAACACGACGAATGGGGGGTATCTTTACCAACCCGTTACTCTGGAAATGTTGAAACGTCAAAAAGATAGCACGAAAAAAACATGAAAATAAACGTCATTCGCCAAAAGCGAGTTTTTTTTAGCGGATTATTTGGCCCTGAAAAGCGAGGTTAACGCATAGGTTATTCTTCTTTTACAAATTTTTTTCCTGATAGTTGGTAACGTTAACGCATGCGCGTGCATTTTTAACACATCAGAACCCCGGACGTTGCCAAATTTTGCGCGACTCTCGCGTTAAACTCGGCGATGCTGGCAAAGAGGGCGGCTTGATTTTTCGATCGACGTTACGCGGGCGTTGCTTATTAGTTATTTAAGTGGGCCCACGTTGCGATTAATAATGGGCGAAGCGTCCCCCGCCAAGTTTGACAACGGCGCGGACGTGGGTCGTTTGGGTTTTTTCTTCGGCCTCAAAAGCCGGTTTCGCGAATTATAATCGGCCGCGGAGGATTCTGAACGCGATCATACGTTTTTACGATGTTGACAAACTGTCGCTTTGGCGGTGCCGCAGCCGCCGATAGCTTATTTTTTCAGGTCCGGGAGTGGAATGCGCGTGATGCGAAACCGCACTTGGACCATATTTATTCGTTTTATAGCCGCGGCGTTCGGTATATAGTCGTATTTGTTATGTATCTCTAACAGACCATGATTCGAAACAAAAAACTGACGGGAGCAAATCTGTGTGTTGTCTTTTTTGCGAGGATCTGACGGATCGGTTTGAAAATACAATTTAAAATTTCTGCAAAAATTAAACGCAACAAAAAACAGGGTTAAGCTGAACTGAACTGAAATGTCAATGAAAAAAACCATCAGACCACAGACTACCAAACTATATTGTATTCTGTGGCGAAAACATTGACAAGTTCTAGTTTTGGTTTTGCGATAGACAGGTCACGTGATTGAAACGTAACAATGGGACACTCAAATTTAAATAAATTGATTTAAGGAGTTGTGTAGGCCGTCTTTATCTGTACCCGCTAGGGCAGTTAAAAAAAAAAAGATGTAGGGTATTTAATGTCCGGAATGAATTCGTGATTGACCCGGAAAACCGATTTTAAAACGAAATACGAATTTTGTTTATTATTATATTCGGGAAAAACTAACCAAAACCCCAAAACGAATGTAAATTGAAAATTACGTTATTGTACATGTAATTAGGATTTCGTTTTCAATAATTCAAATCTTCTCAGCTTTAATATGTGCGTAGAGTATGTATTATATATGTACAGAGTGTCGAAATGTACGAAATAAAATAAAAGTTAGATAGAAAAGTTGCATAGTTTCATATAGATTTTTTTTTAATTATAATTTTTCGTATAAATAGGATAGTATTGGATATATGTCATTATAAATAAAATAAATAAAAATTAAAAATCTAGATGAAATTATCCACATTTTCTATTTAACTTTGTTAAGGGAGACCTTATTTAGGAAACCTTGTATATGTACTACGCCACCACAAGAACCAATCTTTAATGGAAGTTTGGTTGCTCGACTTGGATAACATATTTTATCACCTTCCTCTAAAATTCTAAGACAGCTACTGAATCCGAGTCCGATATTTACAGGAACTTATGAAGCAGCCATGAAAAAGTTTTTGACAAGGTCTATATGCGAGAGTTACCAAATCTCGTTTTTAAGCAATGACCTTGCGGCATTCAACAACCACATAGCGTTTAACGAAAATATCACAGCCATCTGTGACGCATTTTTACAGTAGTAGCTAATTGGGTTTCCTTAATGTCATTTTAAATTGAGAATTGAGTTGTTTGCTTTTATCTAGTTCTCTTTATACGTTTATTTTTATAAAATAGCATTTACGTCTTGTTGTCTCGTACTACAAGGGTAGTACTTATTACGCAATTTGACATTTTATTTCCTAACCTTGACAGCGGCTTACGGCAAAACGGGGCGCGTGCGCGGCCAACCGACCGATATATTATCGATGCCCAAACGTCGTCGCTTCTTAATTTCCACACCACACACGTGTTCGACTAAATAATTAACTGAAAATCGATAAGACGAGCGTTTATCAACGGGTTGTCGCGCGCTCCCCTCGCCCCTCGCGCGACCCCCCTTCCCCTTTAAAGGCACGCTCCGCTCTCGCCTACTTGATAACAAACCGGAATTATTGCAGGTATGGGGCGTGCGGGCGTGCGGCGGCCGTATTATACCGCCACGGCGGCGTGATCATCGCCGATAGGAGCTTTGGGGCCGACGCGCGGCCACCTACGATTCGAGGCCTGATCCTTTACTGCGTTTTCGTCCTACTCGCCGTGACGTATTTCAACGCCTAGTTGTTTTCAAAGAGCCTTGGATCGATTAGAAGCACTTTACGTCATTTCTTTCTAAAACCCTAACTTTATTATTATTATAATCTTGCATGACTATTTGTAAAAAGTAAAAGAAGAGGAATTGTTCTGCGACTACAATTTCATTTAGTGAAAGTGAGGTTATGGAGGACAAGTTCCGTATTCGCTTTTTTTTGTGTATGTGTTATCGTAAACAGGGCATTAGGAAAACAGTCTTTCCGTTACGATCCAAAATGCGACACTGCAATTCGACGTGTTTCGAGAGAGAATACCGGCAAAACAACGAGATTTGCCGAATAAAATAAAGACAAGCCCGGAGTAATATTTAAAAGGGCGACGTCAAATTAGTTTCGGTTTCGGATTTAAATTTTGCGCTGTGAACGAGCTTCGCCGATTTATTCGACGTCTTCAAATGTCATTAGCCCGTTAAGAGATAGCGTTTAGTGGTCTGTGGTTCGACCGACTCGCAGTATTTGGAGGTTATGTTTCATTGTGTGATTTTGGAACGTTTACTCATAAAAATGACCGTTTCGTTCAAAATACCGAGTCATGCGCCCCGATATATGAACACAAATTGAGGCTAAAGTTCAGTTTTTAGAGTAATGTTTTAAAAATTGTGAACCGTCACGTGTGGTTTGTCGCTAATTCCCAACTAGAATCTCGTTTTTCGCGGCAAAGAAGCCAGGGGAATTTACGAATTTAGATATCGCACCGTCGTGTGGTAAGGTAAAACAGTCTGCCTTTCCGCAGGCCTGACGTTCAACAGTGTGCCATGTCTGCAGCTATAAGTATTAGACGGCTGGCAGAGGTGCCGTTTAAGTGGTGCGAGCAGGACCGGGGCACGGCCTCTTACGTATGTCAGACAACCGGAATACGTCTTAGAAGATTACAACGCGTTTCAATAACAAGTAATGTTACGCGCTTTACAACCACCCATCTAACAACGTAAAA